AATCCCTGAAAGAAGATTACGTGGAGACTTCTTTTTGCAGCATTATGATCTGCAGAGTGACTTATGTATAAAAATTAACATTGCTATACAAATTAATATGTATAAAAATTAATATATATAAATATATATATATGTGTGTACAAATAATAAAAAAATAGATGGCAGGAATCTTGTGGACGAAGCCATGTTCAATAAATACGCTCCTCCAAGAACATTATTCTATGCAAAAAAATATTGTACATCAAGTGAGTATTTTACGTATACCATCGTCGCCATTTGTTGAGCCAAGTAGGCCCCATCTCTTCGACCCAAAATAGGCTGCGGTTCGAGTTACTCTTGAATTTATCCCTTCATCACGGCCAATCGCGGATGATCAATAGAACCAACGGCCACGATCAGTGCTTTTCTTGGTAGTTATGGGTATTAATTGCGGATAGAGACGTGTTTGGGAGATCTGGTCACCGGTTTTGGCCAGATCTCCTTTTAAACCCGTGAGATGGTGTGGTTACCGTGAGTGAGCATAATCACTCTCCTTTTGCGTTTTTCCTATTCTTTTTGCTGCTCCTGCACTGTGGTATAGAAGGGAGGCATCTTTGCCAGCGAGGAAGTTGAAGGATCGAAGCTTTCTCTGAAAGGGAAAGGAGGGTCGAGAGGCAGTCAAAGCTGCGATCTTTTTCCCCTCTCCCTCACCCCTTCATCGGGTTTAAATGGGCGGTCGTTGCATCTGATCTCGTCCTTAAGAAGCCTCCCCGGCTCAGACCAGGGAAAGCTGGGATCTTTGAGGTGGGAGAGGAGGGAGGAAGGTGATGCTGCAATGGCCGCGGGCTCACCTACTCTGACTGCGGAGAAGAAGCGCTGGTGGCTGAGCAACAAGAAGGTGAGTGCTGTGCCGCAGTATGGTGTTTATTTAGCTCTCGTTTTGGGTTCTGAGTGCTCTTTCTACGCCGAGCAATGAACCGGGTGGTGCTGCAATGGCAGCGAGCATCCTCCTCTGTTTCATTTGGCTTGAGCTTTAGCCTTTCTCTGCTATTCTCTGCCAATTTTCCCATGAAGGAGAATAGATCAACTCAGAGACTTGTTTTCCTTCTCTGTGCTTTGAGTTCGAGAGGAACCCCATGCAACAAAATCTAATCTTCGTCGTCTTTGCCGCGACTCCTTAGGTGGTCGATAAGTACCTCCGAGAAGCCCGTGTGCTCGTATCGACGCAAGAGCAGTCCAATGTGTCCGCGGCAGTGGGCCTCCTCGACGTCGCCCTCGCCATCTCCCCGCGCCACGAGGCCGCGCTCGAGCTCAGGGCCCGTTCCCTCCTCTTCCTCCGCCGCTTCCGCGAGGTGGCCGACATGCTCCAGGATTACATCCCGAGCTTCAAGGTAGGCAGCGGCGGCGGTGGGGATGACGACTCGTCCTCCTCGCTCGGTGGCGCCGGCGACCACTCCTCCGTCGCTTCCTCCGCGCCGATCAGCCGCGAGCGCGTTAAACTGCTCTCCCCCGCCCGAGAGAGGTCCGACGGCGACCGCTCCTTCCGGTGCTTCTCCGTCTCCGAACTCAAGCGCCGGCTCGTGGCCGGCCTCTCCAAGAGCTCCGACAGGGAAGGCCAGTGGAGGTACGTTTACGACTCGATTAGGCTTTTAATTACGGGATATTTTGACCCTTTTCTCCTCTAATAAAAACAAAACCAGCCGCAAATTGGAGAAATTTGAGGCTAATCTGGTAATTTCATGCTCCCCATTAGAAACCGTCTTCGTCCCCACCGGCATGCAAACTTTGGCTGTCGTCCGGTTTAATCAAATTGAACCGTTCAATTAAACTGAACCGTTGGCTTCTCTACATCGGTTTTCTGTAATGGTCACCGCTGCTTGTGCTCACCGCTCGCGCGATGCTGGCTCTCAGGTATTTGGTGCTCGGTCAAGCTTGTTGCCACCTCGGGATGATGGAGGACGCCATGGTACTCCTCCAAATCGGCCGGCGCCTCGCCTCAGCCGCCTTCCGCCGCGAGTCCGTTTGCTGGTCGGACGATAGCTTCACCTCCATCGCCGGTGAGGAGGACGGCACGGCTGCCCCGCTGCCGTCGGTGTCGGAGACCGCCTCCCAGCTCCTCTCTCACATCAAGCTCGTCCTGCGCCGCCGAGCCGCCGCGATGGCCGCACTTGACGCCGGGCTCCCGGCTGAGGCCGTTCGCCATTTCTCCAAGGTCCTCGACAGCCGCCGCGGCCTTCCCGGCAGCTTCGCCGCCGGCTGCCTCATCGGCCGCGCCGCCGCTTACCGCGCCACCGGCCGCCTCGCGGATGCCATCGCCGACTGCAACCGCGCCCTCGCCCTCTACCCGTCCTTTATCGCCGCCCTCCGTTCCCGTGCCGACCTCTTCGAGGCGGTTCGCGCCCTCGCGGACTGCCTCCATGACCTTGAGCACTTGAAGCTCCTCTACGATGCCATCCTCCGTGACCGCAAGCTCCCCGGCCCGCCATGGCGGCCCCATCGTGACGTCCGGTACCGCGACATTCCCGCCAACCTCCGGGCGCTCACTGCGCGGATCCAGCAGCTACGCGGCCGCATCGCGGGCGGCGAGGGGAACGACGTGGACTACTACGCGCTGATCGGTGTTCGACGCGGGTGCTCGCGGAAGGAGTTGGAGCGCGCGCACCTGTTGTTGACGCTGAAGCATAAGCCGGAGAAGGCGGTGGGTTTCGTCGACCGATTGGAGTTCTTAGACGACCACCGGGATCTCGACGCAATCCGGGATCAGGCGAGGATGTCCGCGTCGATCCTGCACAGGATGTTGCAGAAGGGGTACGCTAACATCATGGTGGCGGTGATGGACGAGGAAGCGGCAGTGAAGCAGAGAGCAAAGGAGGCGGCGGCCGCCACAGCCGCCGCAGCAGCAATTCAAGTCGCAGCAGCGAAGACGGCAGACAAGCCCAGAGCTGATAGGAATGCAGGAGGGAAGGAATGCTGCAAAGGGTCAGAGAAGGCGGCAGCCGCAGTGTTCCAAGGGGTGTTCTGCCGTGACATGGCAGTGGTTGGCAGCATGCTGTCGCACAGGGCAATCCCGGTGAAGTATGAGGCGTTGAGTTGCTGATGAATGGGAAATGGGGATTCGAACTCGCTGTCTATTAGTATCACTGTACAGTTTGCACAAACTTAATCTTGAACGCTATATCACTGCCTCCTTCCATTAATTTGGTTGCCAGCAATCCTTATTGCTCTTTTCAGATTCAAATGTGAAACTATATGGTCTACGAAATATCATCTTCCAGTGAACGTAGTTTCCATGCAGCTTACGTTTGAGAGTCAGCTTAATGAGAGCAATCGTTCAACTCACTGGCACACAAAACCCTACACAGAATTCGAGCTGTAGTCCTCCAAACACTGCTGCACTGCCAAACTATCCCATCCTTTCGCCACTGCAACCTTTTGTTTCTTCACCACAGTGCATTGATGTGCGGCATTCATCCTTTGAGAGTCTTATCCATTCTCTCGCTCCCCAAACAACAGCACATGAGAGGGAGACTCGTCTTTACGTGTCATCCCCATTTTTATTGGCTTGCTTGCGGAGAGGAGATATGTCATGGTGTTCCACGCTCCTCTTTCAGGTTAAACAATTCAACTTCAGAGGCGTCAATCCAACCTGATCGAGACAGTGCGACAGGCAATTCTACAGTGGGAGGAGAGGACTTGATGTGGCAACCATCTTACGCAGAGCTCTAACGAGGCTGACAAATCTGCCATTTGATGAACTCATTAAAGATCAGCTTCGAGTTCGCAACTTGCAGTTTCTCTCCCTTCATTCTGCACAGCTCGAGAATATATGACTGCTTTACAGGTTGCAGTGGTTTGGTATCTGACTTGTGGTGTACGAACAGCAAAGTAATGAACCTCAAAATAAGAGAAGATGATTTGTTTAACAGCATGACATTCTTATATACATAAACGTCTCTGTGCATCTAATCGAGGACATTAAACAACATGTCTCTCCATCACTCCAATCTCCCTTGTCAGGAAGAAGAAACAGTACAATATGTTCATCCAATCTTATTTACTGTGCGTAGCTTTGAAACTTGTTCTTTTCTTGAAGATAAGAATCGAAAGTGTGAATGAATCGACCGAGTCGTAGATCTGATAAAGTGAGGTGATGATTAGAGGTGCTTCGCTAAGACCCATATGGTGTTGGAATCAGAGGGAAGGGGGAGAAGAACACTACAAAGGAGTGATGATGACGATGCCCTGTCACGTGATGCACGGACGTGATGAGTGGTGATGGCAGGCATGTGGAAAGGAGGAGTAAAGGGCGTAGTTTAAAGTGGCATGATGGGCGGCACGTGCGGAGAGGTCAGAGGCCACATGGCCATCGCACGCTTTCGAAGCGAGGAGGAGTACATCGCACGTGTGAGACAAGAGTAAAAGAAAGGGATCCAAATTTGGGGAGAAATTGAAGGTGGATTCATGCTTGAGGGTGAGACAACAAATCTAATATTTGGATCCTAAGCAATCAATTGGTGTAAATTATTCTCATTATACGATTCCAAACCAATTTGATTAAAGAAATGGAAAAGATATGATCGTGAAGGTGTCAAATTAACCATGTAATGGTGGGAGGAATTTGGAAGTCTTGTGAAGCAACATGTATCTTAATTATCACTTCATTGCTCCTCTCAATCCCATGTTTGACAAGGGAAGAAGAAACTGAGAATAGCAAGCAAAGGATGGCAACATAAGTTACCCTTATTTCCCACCAAACCCTATTTGGCACTCAAAGATTTGCATGATTTGGAGCTCAGGAGGACCTAATGATCATCACCATCATGCTATCCCCAGCTTGCCAATGTAAGCATAACTTGCAGAAACTTGTGGGGAAATGGTTTGGTTGGATCAGTAACCAAAGAACAAGGCAGCAAAAAAAGACTGTAAAATACTTCAACCAAATAGCTGCTGTTGGTTTGATCCAATCCTCCCTTTGCATGAGATCAGCTATAAGTCTGCTCACTGGTAATGATCTGAGATCCTCAAGGATCTGCTTCCATGGCTTCCGCTGCTCTCCTCAAGCCTTGGTGCCTTTTCTTGGCTCTGCTTTGCTTGTCTACTTCTTGCTGCAACTCAGGTGCATGCATGACTCTCTCTCTCTCTCTGTCGATTGTGTTGACTTGGTGGAAGAACTAATTACTTCTACCCTTTGGCAGAAGAAAGCACTGTGGGGACGGTAGGAATGGCGTTGCAATGCTTCGTTGATCATCACGTAAGTATGTGTCGTTCATGCATGCACCATTTGAACGGAGCTGAAGTGATCTCACATGAACTGAGATGATTTCTCGACGACATTTGAAGATCTACGTCGGCTGCCAAGAGTCGTACAGGCTGAACGGAGGAGGGAGGGTCGACGTGCCCACGGGAGCGGCCGACGTGTTCTGCGAAGGGCCGTGCCTCCTGGAGACGAAGCTCGCGCTCGATTGCGTGGAGAGGACGCTGCATGGCTTCATATTCTCGAACGGTGCGTCGGTCATGGACGTCAGGTTCGCCCTCGACGTCGGCTGTGGCCACACCAGCAGAAGAGGTGAGAAAGGGGGTTGGATCGCGCCTCGTTTGCGTACGATCGGTCGTCGGTGTGAGCTATCGATGAGTTATCTTGTTCTTGTCGCAGGGGACTTCAGCGTGATGAATCATGAAAGAGGTGTTCCTGAGACGCGTGTTCCTGAGACGCGTGTTGATGATTACGATCAGGGAAGCAAGACGAGGATCCCAGTTTACTTGATGATACTGCTGACTTCTGTTCTTCTTCTTCGGAGCATCTGATGCCGTCATTATCTTGGGAAAGAAGGTTCCGATGGCATGGCCATATGAACGATAATAAGTAATTTGGGGGCAAATGATATGATATTATATATATATAATGTATATTTTATTTTATAAATGGTAAAAGGTGATCTTTGACCTTAAATGGAAGGATTGTTGGACAACAATTTACATTAAATGGAACAGATGCTATTGTGAAAGAGAAAATTAGTATGGATAGCCCATATCAAAATGATATGGATTCAACTCCTGTAGTTTCTGATCTTATCCTGGCAAGTTTCAGACAGGCATATATAATTCCAGCCCATGAAAAGTAGGCAAAAGCTTAATTAGCATTCAGATGAATATGATCCCTCTAATTTCAAATTGATGGCAAAAGTTGAGAAAAGAAAATCCATGAAATAAATGATCACAAAAGGATGCCGGCATTAGAAAAACATTTCTTTGAATCGAGAGTAGTAGCAAGCTACATGCAGTAGTAAGAAATTAGATAAATATGCTGAAGTAGTCTTCCACTATGAATAGGCTCCATAGTGTGAGTGAACAATCACTCTGAAAAATATTTTATCTAAATAATCACTCCATATCGTAAAATCTGTCTATGCAGATATAATACTAACGTTAAGAACATAATACACTTTATGCTCCTCTCTCTCCCAATGATAACAATTTAAACGTACAGGTTTTATTTTTAAAACCCCGCCATAGATACCAGGCCCACAAGAAACAGCAAGAATGGTGCTGCCGCCTGAGCACGCTCGTCGTCATCGTCGGTGTTCTTTAAACATTCGTGCTGCCGCCTGACAGAAAAAAATCATGCCTCATACTATGTCATCGAAGATGGTGGACAGAACAAGCCCCTGGACAAATTCACTCCTTCGAGCTCTCTCTTTCTGATCCTTGTCAGATAGAGACGGTTCGACCCTGGAGGCATGACACACAAGTTAGACCCGGTAAACCATTGCATAACAGATACACCATCTTCCATGCTTCATATGTCATTGAGTGATGCACACATACAGTAATTAAAGCCACTCAAAAGCACAATAGTGGATTGAAAAGCATCAAAAATCCACCCAAATGAGTAGACGTTCAAGATGGATGGAAGATTAAGTTTATAGCTATCAAACTTAGAAAAAAGAATATGAGTGTTTCTGTTTGAGAATATCCCCACTATTTTTCTTGTTAAATCATATGTAATTGTTTTGAGCATTAGACAATCTTGAAAAATCCACATATTTCACTAGACATATATCAACGAGGACAAAATAATTGTAACTACATAGGCTTTGACAGCTATTGTCCACTGTGTGATCGTTGTGTAAGACTTCTTAAAATATCTTGCAGAGTTGTAAAGGAATATTTCAGATATATTTGAGAGTCTATTTTCTACTCAATAAATAAGCCACGAACCAATCAATTTGAGGAAAAAATTGCATACTTTCTCTTAGGCGAAAGCAATATTGTGCTATAACTTGCAATCTGTCAATAGCCTACATTTGTCCATCCTCTTCTTTATAGCACTCGTTACTCGTGAGAAAGAGAGCTTTATTGTGTCATTTGAGTGTTCTCATACTTGTAAGATTCGTGAGTTTTTCTTGTAAAAGGTTTCCTATTGGGACCAAGAATAGCATGTTCCGCTTGATCTTGACAATGAAGAAGACATGGTTGTGCTGTTGTGCAGTTTTCTTGGTCTCACTTGGAGATGTAATGTGTCAAAGACTTGGTCTTGCCCATGAAAAAGACTGAATGGTAGACACCCATGAGGACCTCAAAGTGAAAAGGAAGAATAAAGTAGATGTATATCACAGTTGTAAATGAACCACAATAAATCGTATTTGTACCCTATCACACACTCTTTCACTCCTCTAATTTTCAATGCAGCATTGGATTTGCAATCAAATTGATACTTTTGAATGCAACTTGGTTTTGATTGAATCCATAGTTCTCCAAATTGGATTAAATTTTCAAATTTATTGGATATCCTAATTCAAACTCCTAGGTTTACATGATCCTAGTAACAACATGAAGTCACCATGTCCCAATTAGTTGACTATATGAATCTTTATTTCCATCGAGCTTTAGTCAAAATAAGATCTACATTTTCTTTCAATGTTTCTATGAAATTCTCTTATGTCTCCCTTCAGTCTCTTCTTGAACCAACAATATTAATTGATTCATTTTATCAAATCAGAGTATCCATAGGTTGCTGCTACATGGTTTAAACTTTAAAGTCGTCATGCCATATTGCTCAAAAGGAAAACAAAGAAATAAAATGATCGAGGCAAAACAAGTAGGAATTGCAAAAATAACAAGGCGATGTGTAATGTTCCAACATCATATGAAGATCAGATATGCACCATGCAATGTGAAACTTAAAGAAAAAACATCATACCTTTCAACCACTTCTTTATCTGAACTCTTGCTGACAAGGCTTCCTTCATCAAAAGATTCTGGTTGTGCATCTTTTGATGGCTCATCCAAAGGCAACGTGTAAATTAGTGATGATATAAATGGATCAGGTGCCACAGCAGGTGGAGGAGCCATGTAGGAAGATCCCCCTAAAAGAGCATGCAGATTGCCTTCTCTCAGGTCTTTCCTCAACAAAGAAAGCATGGTATGGGATGCAGCTGATCCTCTGCGGTATTTCCTCCTACGTTGCATGTAATTTCTAATTAAGGAATTCAAGATTTATGAAGTAAGCACCAATTTCAGCAGCAGACTAGAGAAATAGTATGCGTTTCAAAATTCCCAAAAATTTGCATAAGATTTTTAGCTCAAGCCTTTAACAATCATGAACATTCAGAAGAGAATAAAAAGGATATCTTGAAGAAGCTTCCATGCTGCGTTGTTAAGTGTCCAACCAAGTCAAGCCCAACACGAGCTGCACAAACAGGACATACCTGCAAAAGTAACACATCCAACCTTGAGCATAATAAGACATCAATCGATGTGCACTCAACAAATGCAACAATAACAAAAAGGGGAGGAAATTTCTGCCAACTAACTTCACTCAGTATTCACATGAACTAAAAATTCAATAAAATACAGAAAATTGTTGGCAGCTTAAAAGATAAAAAAACTATAACTCGTCGTGAGCCACTAGTTCAAAGCTATAACAAATTCCTGGTCCTTGATGAACAATGACTGCAAGACCATTTGCCAGTTTGAAAGGAGTTAAAATTTTACTCTTCTATTCCCAAAATGCTGTTTTCAGACTACATATAATATTAATCTCAATTTGTAAGAGTGCATGCAATTATGTGCTACATATCTATAATCACATGCAACATAACTATGCAATGAAATTAGTGCAACTACATATTTGGAGTCAAACAGTTTGAAATAGATCTGTAAACCATTCAGGAACATAGACAAACTAGATAATACAGTGGTGTCATCCATGTGAAAAGGGATCAAAATAAATAAATTCTCTTCAAAATTGAGGGAAGTCCTATTTTTTCCTCTGGGATCAAAATGCTACTAAGAAAGGCACCAGTCACTAAGTTCCCCTCCTAGGTGTAAAAAAATGGTGAACCCAGTGCTCTAGCTAGTGTGGGGGTTTGTGAAGGAAAAATATATGCACTCTTACCTTTACAAAAAGGAAAGGTCGTTACCATGATCCGAACCCTAGACACCAAGATTGGAGATGAGCAACTTTACCATCGTACCAACTACCAAGCTCACCTTCTTAATTCCCCTCCTTGAGAATAAAATCTTATGAGATCAACGCATCCATTGTTTTCTTAATTTCAACAGCAGCAAAAGAAGCAACATCTTGCTACGTAATCCAAAGACTTCTTCAGGCAACTATGCTTGAGTTCAGATATAGATGTTATAACCAATTTCAAACACAAAAAAGAAGTATTGGATGTCCATTAAAAGCTTATGCCTGGAAAAGAAACTCAAATTCTCTATTAATGTTAAGAATAAGCACACTAAGTGTCCTATCCCATGGCCGCTCAGGTAATAAAAAAGACGTATATCAGCATGTAAGAAGACTAAAGACTGACAAATGAAAGAGAGAGAGAGAGAGAGAGAGAGAGAGAGAGAGAGAGAGAGAGAGAGAGAGAGAGAAAGCTTTTTTGGTTAAACAAAATGCTCCAAATTCGATTAAAATCCAACACAACTTCCTATATCTTCAAAATAATATATTTGGACCAAAAAAATCAAATCTAATAAATGAAAAACAAGGGGAACACCTAAGAAGTTCAAATGATTACCGGGATAGACAATTCCAGATATAATCTAAGATTCTCATCTAAAAATATCTTCATACGGACATCACAGAAGGATAAGATGATTGAATTGTAATCAAATACAGCTTTATCATGTGTTACCCCATTTTTTATCAGAAAAGATCATACCCCATTCTTAGCCTCCACGGGGTGCTCATCATCGATGTGGCAGCAGAGCCCGACAATATCGAAGTCCTCAGAGCAGAAGGGGCAGGGAAACTCCGCGCGGGTGTCATCCTCGCCTCCGTCTAACTCCTCGAATCCAAGATACAGATCTACCGAACGAAACAACCAATCAGAAAATCCCACTCATGAATCAGGGCAGGGATCACAAGCCCCTTCCCCTGTCGAAAAACCCCCCACCTCTCAAGCCGCGAAGACTGGGATCCCGAGACGCGTCGGCGTATCGCGACTGCAGCGCGGATTGGTGGCGCTTCGACGCGGCCGCGGAGAATCGGCCCCACGCATCGGATTCCATGATCGATCGCTTCCAAAATTTCCTTGCCCCCGGGTATCTGATGCCGATTGCTCCACCGCGAACCCCAATCGAAGCCCCACCACACCGCGAAAAGGGTTGAGAGAGAGAGAGAGAGAGAGAGAGAGAGAGAGAGAGAGCGAGGGGGCGGGGGGAGGTTGAAGAAGGAGAGAAAGAGAGAGGGGTGGAGATAAAAACGGCAAAGGCCACCGACTACGTTGGCTTAGCACTTCGAATCGCATTTCCGAAAACGGACTTCGCCTGCCATCGGAATAACGAAAACGCCATTCCGAGAGACCTGTCACGAACGTGTACTTCCTTCGCGTACCCGTCTCTCCACCACCAGCTAACCCACAGGCGACAAGGAGTTGACCACCAGTCCGGGGCCCACCAACACCGGCCACTTCTCTTGCAGACGCGCGTGGGGACAAACGTGGCTAGGTTGGATGGTTCCGCCTCATCCGCGCGTACAGGTGCGAGCGCGTGTATCGCGTTGGGAGAACTGATGACGTGTCGAGTCTCGGGCCCACCTAATTGGGCCGCTCGGCTTGCAGAGGCGGGTGGCGACAAAGATGGGTAGGTTAGGATGGTTCTTCCTCACCCGTGCGCAGGTGCGACCGCGAGTATCGCGTCGGGAGCACGGATGACGTGTCGCGATCGGGGTGGAGTGACTTAGCTGTCGGACGTTTTGGAGAATCGCGAAGATGATCGGAAGATCCGCCTCGGAAATGGAGGACGGCGATGGTTCCTCAGGCTCTGCTGCCCGGTCACGCACAGCAAGCATCTTATACGGATGATTAGGGCTCGCCACTTGGAGGGATCTTGCTGTCCGAGTCAAGAAAATAAGACAAAGTAAATGTGGTCTGTAAGATATAAAACATCAAATGGAACATAATGTCCACCCAATAATGTATATATAAAATCATTACAATGATTTATTCAACTGTGGTATATTTAGGACCATGGCTACATTTTGGCCAAACTATATGAACATAAAAGTTGTAACTTCAAACACTAATATGATAAAAATATAGAGATTGATGATTGATAAGTATGAAGGTGTTTTAAGGATTTGTTGGTATTTTAGTATCCTAAAATACAAGCCAAAAATTATAGGAGGACTCAAATATTAGTTGGGTGATTATATATTATATTTATTTATTAAAAAAAATAATTATTAAAATATTACTGAATAAATTTTGAAGTTTAAAATATTAGTGAAGTGTGTATTATCATCCAATAAGATTGTTTATGTTAGTACAATGATATATAAGATCTATTTATCAAAGATTATAGATTTAAAATTTCATCCCATAATTAATTTGATTGTCAAATATTGATTATCTTAGAAAAAATATTACATTCATAAAATTTTCACCATATAGATTAAAAAAATGCTATGCACATTACTTTATGGTGTATTTTAGAAAGAAAATATTATATTGATACATCGTACCATATCGTATCGTCTACATATGTAATTATGATTTTTTAGTATAACTTATAACTAAAGTTCATCGTATCATATCGTATCGTTCGTTATAGATGATAAGTTTCGATCTAATAAAGGATCGATACAGACGATATATCGATATGTCCCCATGTATCATATATCGATGTACTCGATATGTATCGTATCGATAATTAATTGATACATCGAAATAGATCGATAAAATAAATCATGCTTATAGTTAATTCTTAAAGGACTTTGGAACAATATTTAATATAACGTTGGATCGAATAGTAACATATGCACACATGGAAAGCCTTTATAGCATTGTTATTATCATGACAATAACTTGTAGGCAATGACATATATCTTTTACCTAAAACAAGTGGACGCTGCCCTTGTTAACGTGACATCCAAAAATCTTATACATGTGTGTATATATATATGATCCTAAAATGAGGTCTTCTCAAAGATATAATAAAAAGAAAGAATGCAAAGATTTAATATAGTCTTTAAAAGGAATGTGATTTTTTTTATTTTATTTGGAGGAACATATAGATGTTCTATCGAAGAGGTTAAGTACAATTTTTATTGGGTGTTCATATTATACTTTTTGTGTTTTATTTTTCCTTCAAAACATAAAACCCTCATGCTAATGTGATCTTTTGTTGGCTAAGTGGGTCACGTTATTAGCGTGAGGAGATTAACCACATTTCTCAATGTTTTCAATGACTCCTCACATCCTAATAACTTCGCACTAAGTATTGATAGTTATTAGAAACATCCATAAAATGACCTTAGGTAGGATGGTTTAAGGACATCTCTAACTAGTATATTTTTTATATTAATAATTTAAGCATAGAAGGAATTGTACGAGGCATCTAATCAAACTAAGTTTTACAATAAAATTAACCCACTGTTATGGGCTTAGTTGATTTTATCTAAATTATATAATACCCTTACGTGTTCGTTTGTAAAAGGTATGCTTTCTTGAAATCTCTTGTGGATTCATGAATAATCATTTAAACAAATACTTGATAGATAATATAAATTATAAATATAAACTTCGCAAGCTGTAAATGAACATGTAACAAATGGTCCTAAGTGATCCACCATAATAAAAAATCCCCACAAGTATTCACATGATACTACTATAGAACAAGACAATAAATTAACCATAGTCATTATCCCAAAGGCCCATCTAGTCATGTGCCACCCGGGTCACTCCTAGGTGCTGTGTTGGTTGATACTCTGTACTACTTTGCGGAGTTAGAAAATCTCAAAATGGCTATCTGGATGACTTGTTTCTAGACAATTTTGCCTCTACGCAATAATTACACATAATCTACGTTTATAAGCCTGAAATGATCATAAAATTCAACCAAAATGAAGCTACCAAACATACTGCAAACTTTCTACATGCTATGTAAAGCATGAATAAAACTGAAAGACATGGACATATACGATCATAATATCAAACACCTTATTTATAGCTTTGTCCGTGATATTCTCTCTCACTTATTCCTTCAATGACCTCGTCAAAGCCTTTATAGATGTTATATCTTCTTGCCTTTGTTGAATCTTGAATCCTATATTATAGTAGCAATATGCCCCTTGGCTCCTAGTTACTCTATGTCATTGTTGTTGAGTAGTAGACATTTGATTTGCTATGCTGCTTCAACTCGCCAATAACTCTAATTTTAATATAGGGTCGGTTGAGTTATGTTAATCATTATTAGTTCTTACAAATCCTTAAAATAAAGAAAAAAACCTTCCATATTATGCATCAGTCTCTTAAACATCTCATATTGCTTGAATTTGGTGAATGCCTATTAGAGTTTTAACGAGTATTATCTTGTATACTTTAATATTTTTAAGGTTTTTCGGTTATAAAATTTGCTCATTAATTCTTGTTTTACTTAGTTATCACATCCAAGAAGGTTCATATCACTTCCACTTTCGATTGGTATTATATTAGAAATTGAAGATGACGATTTATTCTCAATAGCACCAATCACCATTAATGAGGTTTTGACAACTGTTGTCTCCTACTAACTTTTTTTGAATGATCTTTGAACCTACGCAGAGCTCTTTTACTGGATAAATAAGAGAACTAGGATATTCGATTTCATCCATTCTCTTAAGGGTTAAGAAGAGAAAGATTACTTGACTTCGCCTGCCTCCTCGAGGGTTATACTCGATGCATCGAACTGAATAATAGCTTTTGCATGCTCTTTGCTTACAGTTTCAAAGCACCCAAAGTGTTTGTACTCCTTACGATGTGTTAGCAACTACGATTCTCTTTTTCATTATAATCGAACTTCTAGAATACATAAAGTTTTACCCGAAAAGAGCAAAATTTTGCTTCAACTTAGAGCACGTCTCTAATAGCTTTGGTTTCCTCTAAGATTGTATCACCTACTCCTCTAAATAAAAAAAATATAGCACCACATACTACGTACTTTGTTCCATAGTCGAGCACTCTTACATCAACCTGAAGTCCTCAACTTTCAATTATTTTGATGAAAAGCCTGTTATTACCGGTCTTATAAAGTTCTTTAGCCTCTAGCCTTCAGCGTTGTCATGATACTTGGAGTTTATCTTTGCATTCTCCACCTCCTTGGGCCCTTTCGCAATAAGGCGCTCTCCCTCTATGAGAGTAAGGGATCGGATGACTCTATGAAAGCTCCACCTTTGTGGTACCATGATGTTGTCATGCCCATAACCCCATTATCTGTCGTCTCACATCTATGTTCATTTTTTCGTGATTAGTATATCCACTTCTATGACACAATGGAAGAACCACCTCTATCTTCATATTATTCACCAAATTGGAGCTCATAGTATCTCTCAATTATACCTCTATATAATTAAGTCCCTAACGGGACTTCTCCTATATGTATCACATTATCTCGAACTCTTTTATCACAATATGCTGCTCCATGTCACCTCCCGGTGATATCTCCATTGAATTTTGATCTTTGTTGGATGAACTTGGACTGTGATATCTCTATGTGTGGTCTTTGCCAATACATCATACATCATAATGCCTCCATCACCTCTAATTTTATTCGCTCTTTTGACAATTGACCTTCATCCATCCGCTCTAGAGTCACACTTGGATGAAGCATAACTCTAGGATAATCCATCACATAGCATCTTCCGAAGTCTATCGACTTCCCTGAAGTTATTATGTCATTATTTAAATCTTGAGCCTCTATTTCTCCCTAACACAATCTCCATTATAAATTGTTTCTTTTGCGACAATTCAAATAGAAGTACTGTAGCATATTCTTCAAGAGTACCTAAATCTGTTTCCTTTTGTCCTGTGCTAAGACCTTCTGACAATAACTTTGTCTTTATAAATTGAGTCACCATAGTTTCTCCATTAAATGTTTCACCGATATAAGGTACATGTGCCTCGAAGTTTCCTTCGATTTTGGCATCATGTAAGTTAAGTCCACTTCATCAGAACGAGAAACCTATGAAATAATATAATCTCGCTTTTACCTTTATGAAAGTTTCATGTCTCCTTCAGGTGATGACTCTCATGTCCATCGTTCCATAAGGTCAATCTTCTATTTGTGTTTGAACTTCACGAGTGAATTCGATCTTTAATTAATACGCAGGAATGGTTCTCCTTTTTACTTTATTCATATTTCTTGTATCCAACAAAAAAAAAATGTTTTCTCTCGAGCCATTTGGATCGGAAGAACTTTATGCATCAGATCACAGTCTTCAAATTAGACTTTATATATCATAAATTAAGTTCATCAAGATGCTAGGAGACCATACATATTTAATTGTGATTTCTTTGGGATCCATTCGCAATATGTTTGGGTATTGAATTGGCTGCACATTCTTCATCTTGATCATCTTAAAGACTTTTGGAAAGTTCAAGAAAATGGAAGTCCACATCCATCTACTTCCATGATTATTTGCTTGATCTCTGTCCTCCAAAGTCATGCTCATGGTTTCCTTTTTCCTTTCTTTTTTTTTTGTTTTGCAATTTTTGACACATATTTTCCTAATATTTTTGAAATAGAATATCCAAATATTCTGGTCATTCTTTCATTAACATCCAAATTAGTCACATGGTTAACATTAATTTGTTTGATTTAAAGAGGTATGCAACATATAAAATACCTAAAAAGCTTCTACTGTTTTTGGCATCATAATACATCTTTCTTAGAAAAATATATAATCAGGATGATTACAGTCTAATCTACACTAGTATTTAGGTGTACTCACAATGACACCAATGGATCACAAATATGTTGGCAGTCAAAGAAATTACCCATACCCAACGTGACAAACAATGCACTACAGGAAGCCATTTATTTAGATCAGACTAATTATGAACCACACGCAGACTTGACCGGAATAAGTCCAAATGGTCTTTCATTGAGTGCAGTGGTTGGGTGGTGGGTAAACACCGCTGTGTCAGGCTGCTTGCAAGTGTGTTCTACTGTCTGATCAATATCATCACTCTTAGCTTTCTCTAGCAGCATCATAGATTTGTCCTCGTGTTTCATGCACTAAGTTGTCGGTGAAGTCAACAACAACACCACTCTGCAGTATAAATGTTTCTAAAGACAACCCTAACACTGCTACAAACATGTTTAGATGTTGCATTGATTAGAGGGAAATGGTAACAGAGACAAAGGCTGTGTCACTCTTCCTCGATGTTATCAGAACTGCCTGCACATCTGCATTAATAATGGCAGCAGAAAGGTGAAGGTTGATGTCTGCAAAGCAAAAAGCCTCCCAACCACTAACATTGATGGCTGGCATTGCTTACCTGAGCACTTTTGTGTTAGAGTAGAAGAGAGCACAAGTGGGAGAGAATCCAATGCCAAGATCACATGTACAAAATGACTGTGCCAGGAAAAAGGGCACTGTGAAGTGGAAGCTACATAAGATTTACTTTGATGGAAGAGAGTTTGTCTCTTACTGGGTCAAAACTTAGCGAGGAAGAATCAATTTAACAATAGGCCTAAATCCAAGAAATCATACACCCCAAGAACAAGGGAAAAACCATAAGAACCAAAACTCTTTTCCTTTTTCTTTCTTCTGAGAAAACAGAATCCTAAACTTGTTTCATGTTCATCATCTTTTTAAGGCTTGGACTGAGACAACTGCTTGGCAAGTCATGCGACTCTCCTCCTACTTCAATCAAGCAAAGCATATATGAAACAGCATTAGAATACAGAAATAATCCTCTATCAACTTAAGAATCCTCTTTTAGGTGTAATGTACCATTCACCATCATTGGAGACATATGTGACTCCTCCTCCCAATAAGAAGATTGCATGACACGGCACAGAGACATCTTCTTCACCATGATTAAGGACTCACCATCAGTCCTCACATACTCCTCAACATTGGTTTCATGTTGATGTTGAACTAAAACAGGACCACCAAGAAATGTGATGTGCAAGGACCACACATCAAAGGGAGAAATGTTCTGTTCCTGCAAAAGGTGCCCCTCAGCCAGCCTAGCTATATCTATCCATCTATCTATCTATCAACCCCCCTACAGTAAAGGAATATACGGGTACTCTCTGAGCACCCCACCCACTCTTGTTGGTTCCTTTTCCAGAGGCTTCTAACTCCTGAAGCAAGAACATAGTCTCTACAGATTGAGGGACTAATAACACTATGAGACAAGCACCAAATTGTTTTCTCTCATTAGGACGGAAACAGATCGCACCCACCGAAGCAGGACACAAGTACTATACAAAGTGATTAAAGCTATGAAAAGTGATCTGATAACTTAATCAAGTTCATGGTGTTTGCTGCCCTCAACTAACCACAGTCCTCATCCACTTTGTTCTATGCAATGATGGAAGAGATGCCACAGCTAAATCCAAGAAGAGAACACGAGACTGGAAGCATTCAAAGCCGTCACCATCGCTAAAATCTACCGACACCCAGCTAAGAACACAGGGGTCGACTTCGGTGGTGCTCTCCAAGAAGAAGCAACCGTGTTCTCATTTTATGTTGCTCTCATTTTATGTAAGCACTGCTATAGATCGACGTTTCATTCTAAGGGGAAGCTGCGGAACAATCATATCAATCAAATTAAGGGAGAGGAGGAACGATGGGACAAAAGAAAGAATAAATTAAGAAAAGGACACGCTTTCTAATCTTCAACGCCTTAGCATTCTACAAACAACTCTGGCCTAAAAAGATTGTTCTTTTAACTTGTTTTCTAAGCAAGAAGTCACTAATTTAGAGCTACAATGGAGAAAACGAACAATACAAGCTAAAGACAGGTAATGATGCATCAGCAAGAATCGATAAAGAGGTAGAAGGCAAATTATATTTGGCGTACATATGTGCATATATATCAAACAAATTAAATCATCTGTTCCTCTTTTATTCATGGAGGCAGCAATGACAGAATTGTAGTTACAGATCGCCTCGAAACAAAAGAGTGGTTGGAAGAAGAAAAAAGCGAAAAGAAGCTATTTGATGCAGATTAAACCCGTAAAGAATAAGAAAACCGGAAGGGGAAGCAACCACAATGACCATGGTTTTGACGATGAATTATGGTAGTAAAACATGCGCATTTGGGGTGGGCTAAAAGTAGATGAGGCGGGGGGATTTACCGACATGAAGCGGCTGCGGCGGCGGCGGTGGCTGGGGCGTCAGCCGACAGCTGGGCCGTAGAGGTCGTAGGGCGCCCAGAGGTTGTCGAGCGGACACGGATGGTTTGAGTCGAGGCGCACCCACGGCTTGCCGCTGCCGCTCCAGTGGAGGAGGCTCACCGGCCCCGGGTGGAGGTCGCGGCAGCTGCCGTTGATGTTGTCACCGCCGAGCCCGTGCTGATTCCATCGGTGCTCGATCGGCGCCACGTGACCCGCGAACACCAGGAGGAAGGGCGGCAGTGAACCCAGATCGTAAATTCGCCCAGGGCCTCCTGGGGCGGCGCCTCTCTTCTGCACCTCCATCCACCGCTCGATCCGCCGCGTGTACCCGGCGCCCCGCCACCGGACCAGGTCAAGCACCATCACCCCCGTGTTGAAGTAGCATGGCCGGCGGCCGGCGAAAGCGGACGCGAGGCGCCGGTCGGACCAGAACCGGTCGGTGAAGTACTTGGTGAAGTTGGCGTGGCAGTACTCGGGCGCGCCCACGGCCCGCGACCCGAGCCCCTTCCGCCACAGTTTGGCGATATCGTCGACCACCACCAGGTCGGAGTCGAGGTAGATGACCCGGCTAACGCACCGCTCGAGAATGTCCGCCAGGTAGTTGCGGGCGTAGTTGAGGGGCTGCTCCAGGGCTTGCCGCACTGAAGCCGAGATCAGCCCCCGGACGCGGTCCGGATCGAAGTAGTACGCCTTGAAGCGGAGCCCGGGGAAGGTGGAGCGCACCAACGACTCCAGGCCCGCCTCCGAGACCAGGAAGTGGAAGAAGACGCTCTCCGGGCAAGCAGCGTGGGCGAGCACCGAGTGCACCACCGCCATCGACCCGCGCAGGTACCCTTCGTCGAGGGTGATGGCGACGTGCACCAGCGAGGGATCGCACGACGAGGTGCCGTTGGCCGACGGGGGCTCGCACTCCGCGGCATTGTTGAACGACGGCGCCCGCCGGAACCCGAAGCTGTCGGCGTCGCCGAAGGCGGCGGCGAGCTGGTGATTGTACCCGCCGCCGGGGAATCGGAGGTACTGGGACGACCGGATGGCCTCGGCGGGCGGGAAGGTTTGCAGGGAGGGGGAAAGCAAGACCATAACCACGGCAGCGGAGCACATGCCGGAGAGGCGGACGACCCAACGCATAGTCCCGCCATCTCGGCGGCCGCCTCCGCCGCCGCAGCCCTTCCGCCGCCGGCGCCGCCGGGTCTTGAAATCGAATAGATCCGCAAGGCGGGCGAGCGCGGACACCAAAAGGAGGGCGATGGCACCCCTGATCCCCGCCAGAGCGAAGGCGGAGGAGAACGCGCCCCGCTCCCGATCGCAATCGAGGAGCCGCAGGCGACCAACGCTTTCAGTGGTCGAATCCCTCGGTCCCGACGCGATAGCCCGCGGGGAGAGCCCTAAAAGCGAGCGCGAAGAATCCATGGACGAGGAGGAGACGAAGGAAGCCCTGCGGTAATCTCACTCGCGGTGCACTCCTCCGCCCTCCTCCCGTCCACGCTCCCGGTCTCCTCCTCCATCTCCTCTCTTTGTCGCGGTGCCAGCGAAGCGGCAACAAC